AGGCTGTTAAATGTACATTACATCTGCGTTAAGTAAATGAAAGTAGTCAAATTACTCAGATTCATGACTTTTCATTTTAATGTCTGTTCATTATAATGGCTAAAATGCAATGAAAGTGTATATATGAGCCAGAAGTTCCTATTATTGTTTTACTGCAATAAAAATGATAAGTGACCAGTAAATGACGATGCTACAATAGATGACGCGAATATGAAGTCACATGCCTTTTTTCAGAGAAGTAGAAAAATGCCCCAAATTAACATTGGCTATTCAATAAATACAATAGCTTGAAAATGAAATCAAGCATTACATAAATAAAAAAATGAACAAGTATAATGCCAATTTGTCACGACGTGAACTCAGAATTCCGCTGAAGTAGAAAGCTCTTCCAATTTAGTGACAAATTATTTATAAAATGCCCCTATCAAGTCATGGACCAAACATCTCTAGCATGTCCATATTAAGCCAAGGACCGAATAATTACATATTAAATGACCATAATAAATCAGGGACCAAACATTTCTAAAAAAATATGTTAAGTAAAAAGCCAAGCCTATATTCAAAATTTATTACAGGATTCGTTCCATAATCTGATGTTCACAATGACTTATTAGGACTTAAAATGGGTTAATAATAGAAATATATAGCAATGATATATGCATTCGAATAATAATGGTAATAACATTACTTTTAAGAAAATAACTTACGTAAAACAGTTTTTCTGCAAGGCTGTTTATATAATATTGACGACTTGCACCAGTTTTTAGCAAAATAAAATACAAATTCCTTTCCAACGTCAAATCCTGGCTTTGGGAATTTACCTAAAAAAAGTTGCCTAAAAGGAAGCTGAAAAAATGTTGAACTGTGAATTTTTCAAATTCGAAGAATTTATAATCGATACAACATTAAGCATCAAATGTTGTAATGATCTCACCTAAAATTCTTATTTAAGCGCTATAAATAATTTTAAAACAAAAGATAAAGACTGACAGGCGCGTGAGCAAATTGTTCGATTATGAGGCTGATGAAGGCCTGGCGCTGCCGGCACAAGATGGCCGCGATGCCGGAGCGTCTCAAGAAAAGCAATATTGGTGAGCACCGGAGCGGAAGATGAAGGGTTAGGGGGAGTGCTGGGCCAGGGGGACCTAGATCCGGAGGGGGTTAAAGATAGGGGGAGAAAACTGATAGTGGGTGGGAGATTAATCGCTAGAGATCTTATGGATTGATGGGTGACTCCTCCAGTGATTGATCGGGGAGTCAAGAAAAGGTTAAGTAATGGCGGAAACTGCAGAGCTGACGGTCAACGAAAATTTTTCTATTGGGGGATAAAAATCCTATATCCAGAGGTTGAAAATATTGAATAGGGGGAAGATGGGATGGAATAGTGAAGATCCGGAGGATGGAGGGCAAGATCCGGTGTTCTGCCGTCCCCTCTCTTGGGACTTTCTGGGAGGGAGGAGGGTGAATTTCGGTGCTCGTACAAGCTAGAGGAGCCTAAGAATTTGAATGCAACTTCTACAATTGGCAAAAATAAGACATGCGGTAACAGACAGGCTGTCGTGATAACAACAAAAAATTTTGTTTCACAACAAAAACGGTGAAAAAATGAGTTTGATAGATATATGTTAAAAAATAAGCGATTTACTACGATTCCGAATAATTTTCTTGTGAAGATGCAATTATTCGACCAGAAAAGGAATGGTGTATGGATGGTAGGGGCTTACTTCATGTTTCTAATTTTTTTAATTTTTTCCAGTAAAATTTCATGAGTTGTATTTTCAACAGAAGGTAATAACTGTTCATGTACGTGCCTGAGTATAGGGGCCAGACGCTGTAAGCAGGCTGCGCTCAGCGCCTGAGCAGAGACCAGACGCTGTAAGCAGGCTGCGCTCAGCGCCTGAGCAGAGGCCAGACGCTGTAAGCAGGCTGCGCTTAGCGCCTGAGCAGAGACCAGACGCTGTAAGCAGGCTGCGCTCAGCGCCTGAGCGTCTCCTTTAAAGTTAGATGCAGGATATTAATTCATTTTGCATCTGCCTTCATTAGGAGCTGGACAGAAAGGTGGCGCGTAGGGGTTGGAGGAGGGAATTTAAGATTAAAGGGATGCTGGAGATGAGAACATGGAGGAGAAATAAATAAAAATAAACTCCACTATAAAGTAAATATAATTAATTGTATGTATAAATGAAGGTAACAAGACTTACAAGTCACTGCATTAAGTAAAAGGCAAATAAATAAAGCTACGGATAATGGGGCGGAGGATTCGGCAAGAGTTTAAAGGGCAAGAAGCAAACTTGGCAACATGCGAACATTATAGTAATTTATTCAGATAAGTGAATACGAGGTAAGTACAATAAAGTCTTTGCAACATAGTTTTTATAGGAATTCATCACCCGCAGAATTTTATTCTATCACCAAATACGCTCAAGAATATCTATGCTATACAATTTTAATTTCTGTATGTCAACGTTAACTGTTACGTCCAATTGCGGTCGTTCTTCCCTAAGTAAAAATGTAGCGTTAAATTCCATTCCACTCTTAGAGGTCACTCACGAGCGAAAAGCCCCTACGTTAAACCAGTCGTCTGACGTTGAAATAACCTTAATCAAAACTTGTTTCAACGAAATCAACTCGTAATCAACATTGTTTCAACATTATTTACCAGGACCATCGCCCAACTCAAATGACATTTTCGTGACGTAGTCATACTGTTTCTTAAAATTTTTTGTAATAATTTTTGTTAATTTTCACGGAAATATTTGTGAATATTTAGGTAACTTGCAATGTGGAAGGCGTAGCGAGCGTCTCAGGATGACCTGCCGTGCGCAGCCTCGGCTCATCTTCGTCAACGCGAGACGAGGTTTGCTGCTGACGTGGCGGCCGACGTCTCACGACGTACTGCATGCCGACGTCTTTAATGGTAACTGTCCGTCAGTCCGTGTCTTGATGGGGTGCCCGTTAACGCAGCTGCACTTGCCCGTCTGCCCGTCTTGATGGGCTGCCCGTTAACGCAGCTGCACTTGCCGGTCTGCCCGTGTCTTGATGGGCTGCCCGTTAACGCAGCTGCACTTGCCCGTCTGCCCGTGTCTTGATGGGCTGCCCGTTAACAAAGAAGTTTTTGTCTATAATGCTTCATATATTGACGGCGAACCGTTCACAGAAAATCGTGTCTGGATAACATGTAGCCCTCTTATGTATATAATATCTTTCTAATCTATTTACATTTCGCTTATTTACTCTGCTTTTCTCAATTAGTTTATGCAAGACTGGAATTTTCTTAATCTCTCTTGTCTATTTATTTTATCCACCAATAGATATCCTTTATTATCACTAAACTTTACTATTATGTCCGATTAATTGAGCATAAGGAAAAGCCTTGACCTAAATTTCACACTTTGAATTACGATCATAATTGGAAAAAAATCTTGATAGTAAATAAATTCCATTTCGTGAGGATCCTATCTCATATAAAATTTTATATACAAATCGATACTATTATCTCTTCTTTACATCTTAACTTAAGTCCCCACAGCTGATCGCCCTCAACAGTATCATCAAAAACAACAAATTGATAATGACTTTCAAGTTTGGTGTCGCTTACAAGCACTAGAGACGATCGAGTTCTCCCTGAAATGAGGTATTCACGGCAAGCTCGGCAGATTAGCACAATAATCTCAACGAACGAGCCCAGCATAGCAACATAATAATACTGCACGATTAATATATGGCATTCCCTAAAGCTTGTGCTGATGATGTTAGATGTAAAAATGTTAGTAATGCAACTGGTGAGTGCGGCCGGTGCGGTCGAGGCTCTTATTCGACGTTATTATTAGCAGCGTCGTGCCGGTTGTGATGTCCGGAATTTTGTTTTAATTTCCGGACATGTTAACGGCAAGAAATATTGTTCCAGGACAATGTTAAAGGAATAAAGCTGTGTTCGTAATGGAAATCTGGAGTACCGAACGTTACCTTTTTGTGCAAGAAATATTGGTTTAAGAAATCGTTAGAAGCACGAAAATTTTACTTTATGAAAATATAGTACCCATAATTATGCCAAATCAACTCATGAGTCCATGACATAACGAATCAATTTATGCACATATATGGGTTTGTTGTATTTTATTGTTTTTCTTTTAAGAATTAAATGAGTAAAGTAAACTTAATTTGCTTTGTTTTGAAATGTTTCTCGTTACAATACTGGTGGGTAGGAACAGTCTGCTTCGACCAGCTAGGACAGATTTTTTATAAATATTGTCCATGTTTGAGCCTACCTTGGATAACATACGAAATGAATTTCAGCTAAGCTGTTGCATAATTTGTTACAGATGGAAATTATTTCAATTGTGAGTATTAGTGACACTTGATGGATTGACTTGCTTGAGAATATTTAAATTTTCTCTAAAGATGCTGCAATTACTTAAAACTTAAAAATTAGTACTACATTTTCTTCATAGGTAAGGCTATGGGCATCACGATGTTTTTTAAATTACTAATATCGAACTTCAGGAATTTTTGCTTCACTACGAACTTTTTTAAACTTCATTGAAAATTTCAATCATTAGTTTCTGATATTTTTTGGGGTGCTATAGTATATTTGTGCGGCGATGAATTCTTATCGTACACTGGTATAGAAATCAGCACATGAAGCGACATCTAAGGTTAGAGACTAAAGATAAAGACTGGATTTAAGACCAAATCTCGAATGGATAGATTTATTAGATTGCGTATCCTTGTTTGTAAGTCTGATTGCAGCGCACATCGCTGATCGAGCTACACGCCCCCTTGACAACCTCTAAGACCCCAAGGAAGAAGCGATGGCGCGACTACAGCGAGAATTCAATGTGTTCCCTGAATTCGAAGCCTGCGAACAAAATCCAATTATAAGTTGGCTGTGCTTCCCTTCGGCCAAATCCTTGGAATCTCTTGCAGGCAAAGTCAAAGTCTGACGGCTGGCATTTAGTTCGTTGCCGGCAGCTCCTTGCGACTTAAACTTATTACGCAACTCAAGCCTGCTCTACTCCTGCCCTGCCGGCACCTCCAGCCTGCTCCGCTCCTGCCTTGGCGGCACCTCCAGCCTGCTCCTCTCCTGCCCTGCCGGCACCTCCAGCCTGCTCCGGTCCTGCCCTGCCGGCACCTCCAGCCTGCTCCGCTCCTGCTCTGCCGGCACCTCTAGCCTGCACTACTCCTGCCCTGCCGGCACCTCCAGCCTGCTCCGCTCCTGCCCTGCCGGCACCTCCAGCCTGCTCCGCTCCTGCCCTGCCGGCACCTCCAGCCTGCTCCGCACTTGCTCCAGCCTGCCTGACTGCTGTGCAACAGGAGATTCTGCATCGCATGTAGAGGTCAAAAGATGGTTTTCCGTAGGAAAACAAGTAAAAATATCTGTAGGAAGCACTAGTATGTTTAAATCGGGAAGCTAAACCCGCATTTATGTCGTCAAATAAATAAGGCTGAATCGCCCTAAAAACTACATAGGACAGCTTCGTCATCTTGAGGCATATGATTTTTCTCTATAATGAAGCAGATAATGCTTCTCCATTCTGAAGCAGATGATGTTTCTGTTAGTGAAGCAGATAATGCTCCTACATTGTAAACAGGTGATTCATATCAATTGTAATTTAAATAGTGCTTATCTGACCCGAGGCAAGTGATGCTGCTCCAGCTTGAATTAGATGAAGCTGTTCAATAGCATAGCAAGTAATACTTCGTCAGCAGAACTTATCTGCCCATTTTAACCTACACTCAGACTATGGCTGGCCATTCACTGCCAAGGATCGGCCGGCCTTAATTCACCCTTGTGTTATTGACAACTTAGCAGTCGTGAAACGGAGCATCTTTAGGGTTAAAGAGAAGAAATAGATGACATTTATGTCCAGTGTTTATACATAAAAAATGGATCAGAGATCCGTCTAAACAGAGGAAAAATTAGTTATGCGAGTATAAAAGTTGCTGTTTTTACGTTTTAAGAAACAGACGTTACTGATTGTAATTGGGTTAAAAATCAATTTAAGCATGATTTAAATACTTTTCTATTGACGTCAATAGCATCACCGAGAGTTTAACTAGAATTGATTGGCACGAATTGCACAAAAATTGCGTTATTCTGGAGTCAAGGTCATGACTGTATGCGTAGTTTCATTGTGATGCTGCAGATTGTAATTTTTCAAGAGTTTATTAAAATGTTACAAAAGAATTAGGAGTTAGCATAAGAGAAATGACGTGCTACAAATAATAATAAATTTATCCATGTTTCGCTAAAGAAATATCAAGAGCACATTGATATTCAGAAAAATGATCGGGTCACCGTATCCAAATTCAAAATTCACTGCACTTTCTTACCCCAAGCAGCCCGAGCGGAGAGAGGACGTAGCACTGATACGTTCTTTTTCCGGGCCAAAATGACTGGGTTCATGATAGTCTCATAGTCAAAAATGTATCGTAATTGCAAGAAAGTCTCACAGATTTCTCTGGGTGTTGATTTCAAGCGCCTATCTCTTCGAAGCAAACGTCGTCTCATAAGGAGTAGACCTGAATTATTACTCAGACTTGAGCGCCGTACGAATAGCATTGCTAATTCAAAGAGATTGGTGTAGGACGTCTAGGAGGAGACAGCGCTGTGTCTTGAGGACTCGTGTATTTGTTCAATAAATTCTCGGTCCAGATGTGGGGTTGACGTCGATGTGAATTTCGCAAAGGCAATCCCCAATAAACTTGCTTGATTCCGGGCAACTGATTGCTTGTATTGACGCGCCTTTTCGGCGAGAAATAAGTTGCAGTTTGTGAGTGAGTTTCGTTTCATATACTTTGAAGAATCTTGCTCACTTTCTCGTAATTATTATTTGATGGTTTTGTTCATTTTTTTGAATACTGTTATATTTATGTTATTATGGTTTATATACGTTCGATCTTGAAATAATTAGAATAATCGCCGATAAATTCATTATTCGCTAATTTTAAAGTGGATAAAAATGGAAAATGTTTCAGGGATTGCGGGGAAAAGTTATTTATTAGATATTTCATTAATATCTCATGACAAGTGTTGCTTTTAATAGCGAGAAACGAATGGTAATTTTGCTTCACGCTGAGTTTTTAAAGATTTAAAAAAAACGTTATTGTATTGTTAGGTCTCATAAACCAATAACCCAATTCTTATGAATAATTTGGGCAACAACACAGTAGAGTCCCGATCGATTTTTTCCAATTTTAAACTGAAAATTCCACTTTTTTATTTCATGATCCAAGTTAAATGAAAACTGTGATCCAGATTAGACAGACGCAGCGTTGAGATCTCCAGCTTCTGTAGGAAAAATGCGGCAAAAGTTCGTGAATGGGTCGGCTTCATTGATGCCATTGGCTGGACCGTGGGGGGCGGCCGCCCCTCGCAGCGTTGAGATCTCCAGCTTCTGTAGGAAAAATGCAGCAAAAGTTCGTGAATGGGTCGGCTTCATTGATGCCATTGGCTGGACCGTGGGGGGCGGCCGCCCCTCTCAGCTCTTTTGCTCCCTGAAAAATACAAGCGATTTGCGTTCACCCGCCGAGTGTTGGACACGGTGTGATCCATGACGGGAGTTGAAAGTAAGGATATTCATATACAATTTGATGGTTTTGTGGAACTTGTGTCACTAATTTACTGTGGAAAGATGAATGTGAGTTTAGAAATATTTCATAGTAAATTTTTTTTGACATTTTCAAATAATTTGCATTCAAAAATTTGACACGGCTACCTGGGTCGCTCATCCACGAGGAGAAATCACCCACGAGAGTTCACTACATTACAGTTGTAAATTAATATTGAGAATTTTTTTATAATTTTTCTCATTGATTCTGAAAAATCATTATTAATCTCGTTGATCGCTGATATTGATAAAAAAATGCAAGTTTGTCCAGTAATTTTTTTCGGTTAGTTTTTCAGTTAAATCATCTATTTTATCTACAATAGCTTAAGAAGATAGGAAAAGTTTATAAAGTCCTCTTCAGTGAGTTTTTATTCGAGAAAGAAAAAAACAGGTAAGTTAAGAAAAAAACAGAAAGAAAAACAGCTAAGACCAGATAAAAGGAAATATAAAATGAAGAAACTTAATTTTTAAATATCATTATATTTAGATTTAATTAATATATAGTTAAATATTTATTCACTTCAAAACGAATTATAAATCTAAAAAAATAAATTCCTGAACTCATAAATGATTGATATTCAACTGGATTTGAAAACTTTTTGGTATCGTAAATTGTACAATTGCGACTATATTAGTAATGAGTAGTTGCATTAATTCTATAGACATATTGGTGATTTATTCAAGTTTTAAATTTTTTTGCGATTCGCATCAACTCAAGAGAAATAATTGTTTCATTGAAATATTTGTGGAATTTGCCGAATTTCAGACGGTTATTCAAGTGAATTTCTTTCAGATGGAGACGCAGTTGCTCCCCGAAGTCATGAGGATCAAAACAGAAAACCATCACAAATGATACAAGACAAAAAATCAATAACTTATTTACATCACTAAATTGTGCTATTCAACTAATTGTGCTGTATGAATGAATATTCTATATCCAACCCTTTATTCAGCTGGAGTGAGGTTGATAATACCAGCATTGCTGTCACCATCATAATTAATACGGATAATGAAGTCTATACTACAATATTTTATATTGGAAATCTATTCCACGGTACTACAACGTCCATAGTTATTTTTCCTAAGTTGTTATTTCAACTGAATTTCACTGTGAGTGACTTCAACGAGTCAGCGTTGAGTGACACCAACACAAAACTGAGCTGAACGCAACGTCGCCCCCCCTCCTCTTTCTGCCCCCGCATTTTTTACGTGGCCTTCCCCGCTCATCCACTTTAAAAGCTGCCTTTTTTGGCTCAGCAAGCGCTGGTGTGTGAGACTTGAACGCCGCGTGAGCTCTTTACACACCCTAGATGAGCATGGAGCAGTCTAATTACTCTTATAATAATTGTAAAAGGAGACAAAGGTAGAAGGTTTTTCTGGTCAATAAGAAACTAATGGAAGAAAGAGTAAATTAACGCTGAAAAGCTAATACTATAAATGCACGGTGGCAGAAGTGAAGGCAGAAGTTCAAACGTGGAGTGCAAACGTGTAGTGCAAACGTGTTGTGCAAACGTGTAGTGCAAACGTGTAGTGCAAACGTGGAGTGCAAACGTGGAGTGCAAACGTGTTGTGCAAACGTGTTGTGCAAACGTGTAGTGCAAACGTGTTGTGCAAGCGTATCATCGCAATAACTAAACTGGATATTTTCTAGGCCTTCAGGTTCTATCAAGGAAGGCGTCATAAACTATATAGGCAGAAGCGAAGGCAGAAGTAAAGACAGAAGTGAAAGCAGAAGTGAAGGCAGAAGTGAAAGCAGAAGTGAAGGCAGAAGTGGAGGCAGAAGTGAAGGCAGAAGTGAAGGCAGAAGTGAAGGCAGAAGTGAAGGCAGAAGTGAAGGCAGAAGTGAAGGCAGAAGTGAAGGCAGAAGTGAAGGCAGAAGAGAAGGCAGAAGTGAAGGCAGAAAGTGAAGGCAGAAAGTGAATGCAGAAAGTGAAGGCAGAATTGAAGGCAGAAAGTGAAGGCAGAAGTGAAGGCAGAAGTGGGAAGGCACGCGGGGCTGCATTATACAAGTGGTGCTCAGGTGAGGGAAGCTCATATGACAGCTCCCCTCTTACCCTCACATGTCGCTCTGCGGCCGTCGCACTGACACTTTACCTTCATGTTTAGCACAATTAAAATAAACACGGAGAAAAATTTGATGTGCCATATAAATAACAAAAAAACTAATGAATCGAGGAAATTAGAAGATAAACTCACGAAGTTCTATTGGAAGTAAAATTTGTAGCAAAATTATTCCGCTAGAGATAATTAGAACGAGACGCAGAAGTGAATGAGAATCTGTTCACTGTTAAATATTTGTTTGTATAAACATCCAGGAGTTTGAAACCGTGCCTCATTCCGCGCTCGGTTGCAATCCTTGACTCGAGTGCTAGTCTCTATTTTACTTGAGAGCTCGTGACATTCTTTTCATTAAAAAATTTTACCTGCGTTTATTTTTGGGTTCCAATTTTGAATTTTAACTCGAGTATCAGTTATCAAGCTATAGAGGCGATAATCGGACTCTATTCAACATATGTTAAAATTCGCATTACAAATCAATATAATCCATTCAACTTATATTCAAATTAGTATTTCCTACGGTTCCCTCCCTAAATTACAGTAGAATAAAAATTGTTTTGTTGAGATTGCGTCTCAAATTTTTCTTATAAAGTTCAGATCAAATCCCTGCTCACTTTTTTAGTAAAATATTTCAAAGAAATTCGTTAATTACTAATATTTCT